GCTAATACTTAATTAAGACCGTGGCCTCTCAATTAAACGCCTCAGGATCCGCATCCCCCCATCTGGCCCTCGCAAGACCTCGGAGGAGCAAGTCACATGTGTTAGAGATGGAAGCGGACCAGTCGTGTCTGGAGCTCGCGTCAAGCGTAGGCGTATGCTATAGCGAGAAAGAAAGTTTCAAGGTAAGACGAGCCCCTCCGGTCTCTTCCGCCCCCGTTCCGATGTCATCTCCCACCCCCTCACACGGCGCGAGCGCGGCCGCCGCTGGATCAGACACACGGCTGCAGGGGCGGCGGGAATTCTCCAGGGAATCATAACGTCTCCAGCAGCCGCATTAACTTCTGCCTGGTGTGCATCACTCAGAGCCGCGATCAGTCTCTTTTAGAAGACCCGCAACAAAAGAGCACAGGAAAAAACACGCCAGGGGGGCGGATTAAAAAGTTGAGACGGGAACAATACATCCCACGGTCTCCGCTGCAACGCTAGACAGAGATTTCAAAGCTGTGAATTTGATAGTGTCCTGCGGTAAGTCAGACACATCCGCTGGAGCGCCACACTTTGGCCCGGCCTGAACCTCACATTGTAGGTGCTGCTGATCCTGACAAATGAGAGCAGAAAGATCTGGAGGAACTCCATACGATTCTGCTCACATGTAAAGGGCCTAATGCTACACTAGCAGAACAAAACAGGCCAGTTATTATCCGCAGCCTATCATTTACCAATTCACCAAAACATGAATTTAAAAAAGAAAAGAAAAGAAAATGCTGTTGATAAGGCTGTTGGTAGATTGCAATTGTAAAATAATTATTTACAAAAATTCGAAGAACATCATGCATTCTACAATACATGCCAGTCAAAGGAGACAAGCAATATGTTGACATTGAGGCATACATTTCGCAAAATGTGTTATTTATAAAATTAAACAATATGAAACTCATGTGTCTCTGTTCTCTAGGGGAGTGAGGCATTATTTGACTGCAGGGATGTCATCACAGACGTTGTGCCGGCCTCCTGCCATTTATCATGATCACTTGTTTCTCTGTATACGAGTCCAAATCGACTCACACAGAATGACAGTTTGACAATCGACTTCCTTCTCTCAGACGTCCATTAATACTGAAGCAGCAGCAGGTTTGTGTGGCAGATAAACAGAGCAGGAGGAGGTGAGACGCAGTCAGTGGCACTCACATTATCAGTGATCTGCCATTAGGGGTCGCTAGAGAGTGAAGTCCAGACTCAGACTCAAGAGACAGCATCTTTTCTCACTCATGGCACTGAAGTGAAAATTAAATGATATATAGTAGCCAAAAAGTATTTGGACAATTAGGTCACAGCTAAAAACATCTGAATGTCACTGCATTAGATACTAAAACATCAATCAAGTCTCAGTATCTCTGCTCAAATGCAACGGGATCTTTTCTTAAAGCTGCCTTCACTTTTTTTTCCCACAGGTCTACTAATTTTTGACATCTACAAAATTGCACAACAACACATTTTTTGTCTTCATTTTCACAGGACTATATCTACTGTTTTATAATTTCAAACCAACAAACTGCTTTTTGTTTATTCTTTTTTTAATACGTTTTTAGAAACGTCTTTTTCTATAAGCACTTCAGGAATGAATGGTATTGAAACTCTCTTAACTCTCTCTCTTTCTCTCTATATCAGTTTATATATATAATTCTCTATGTTTATGCTTCTGTCTTATTTTGAGTGAATTGTAGAAGTGTGATTTCCAAACCTTGAAAAGTCATGTTTATAATGAATATTAATTTTTAGTAGTTCATCAAGCTTTGAAATATTTTATTGTGCAGAAACTGCTATTTGCAAATAATTAACACAAACATATAAACTGATTGGTCATAGAAAGTGTGAACCCTGAAATACATTCAGTCTGGAATTTAACTATTTTAATTATAATTTTTTTGATGCAATTATTGAATATTGTCTCAATGGGGTCAAAAAGGGTGAAAAAGTGAAAGTGAAGTGACGTGTGGCCCATGATGGTGACCCATGCTCGGAATTTGTGCTCTGCATTTCTCCCATCCAGGTGCACACACACAGTAGTGAACACACACACACCGTGAACACACACCCGGAGCAGTGGGCAGCCATATTGCTGCGGCGCCCAGGGAGTAGTAGGCTCAAGGGTCTCACCTCAGTCGTGGTATTGAAGGTGGAAGAGAGCACTGGTTATTCACTCCCCCCACCAACAATTCCTGCCAGACCTGAGACTCGAACCCGCAACCTTCAGGTTACAGGTCCAACTCTATAACCATTAGGCCACGACCGCCCCTATAATACCTGAGAATACCTGTTCTAGAAAATGTTTGAAACATTGTATTTTTAGCACTTCTCATGCTGTTGTCTCCTTACAATTAATTGCTTTAGATATTCAGATAAAAGCATCTGCTAAAGGAATAAATGCAAATACTAGTGTTTTTCTTTAAAGTAAAAGCAAGCTGCTTTGATATGTTTCAAAATGCAATGACATGCAGACATTTGTCTGGCTGAAGTGACCAAATTCTTTTTGGAATCACAGTATATTCCAAAACACTGCCTGGAAATGTGACACTCCATATGACAGAGAGTCAGCTAAATGCAATACATTTGGCAATAACAAATAGAGTTCAAATGGAAATCACATCTGTACAGGCCAATGAGCTGCAAGCACAGTATATAACACTGAAAACCAGAGGCTCTCAAACTTTCAGGCAAATCAACAAGTGTGATCAAACCAGAACATCCAACTACCACCTATTCATGATAATATTCCTTGTATTTTCAGCAATGAAATCACTGCAAGCAGCACAAATACACATAACGGCATACTGTGGTTTGATTCATATGAATATTCCTGTCAGTGAGATTAATCATGCTGCTGAAAAGACTCTTGACTGGCGTTTTGCAGGTCAAACATCAAAATAAGAAATTGTGCATGTAGATGATCACAGACTTTGAAGATGCATATGGTATAATATCATGTCTTTTTGCACCTAAAACTTTCTATGCATAAATTTTCTTATGGCATCAATGTATAGCTATGGGCTAAAGAATAAATATATAAGCCAGGCGTTTACGGTCTATACGTCTCATATTATGTATGATTATATGCACCAGAGTATTCTGAACCTTATGGACCAATAATGAGTCTTTTAATGAATCCTTCAAAACACAATTTCATATCACCAGAGAGTACATCAAAATGTGCCTCGTAGTTGTGTGACATAAATCTATCCCATCAGTCCTGATCAATATAAATTTAGAGAGAATTCCACCACTTAAAAGGCAACACCAAGACACCAAAAAAAGTGTCGGGTTCAAAGTACCTGAGGTTCGATGACTTCTTTGGCTGACAGCTGATCGTCTCCATCACCGTCGGCTGCTTTATCTTCCTCTACATCTGAGCTCTTTTCTTCAGAACCGTCCTCTTCTTCCTCCTCCTCATCATCACTGTCACTGCCTGATTCTTCAAGCCCAGAGAAGACGCTCTCTTCACTGTCCGACAGATCACCCTGATCTTCATCACCATCATCTAGATGACCATCTTTACCGCCGTCCTTATCAAAGATGGGCAGCTGAGAAAGAAAGACCATCAGGAATGCATCAAAACAAACACAACACACTCATTACTGCATAATAAACACATAGGCTATTTAAACCAAATTCTGCTTTCATAATGCATTTCATACAAAAGCACAATTCATATTTGCCTACACAATCTAATTTTAAACATTCATTTAATGATAAGGTTTTTAATTACATATATATA